TCTTCTCTGTAACGCTGTTCTGTTGCACTGTCCCTGGAGTAGTCCTTTCCAAACGAATCTCATTTAGAACACAGAACCTCTTGAACTCCTCCAACTCGTATTCTCCATTGTTGTCTGATCTCAGACGATTTGACTTGTTCTCCACCATGACTTTTCACTTTTTAAAGATCCCGAACACCTCTGACTTGTGCTTCATGAAGTATACCCACACCTTCCTTGAGTGATCGTCGATAAAGGTGACATAGTACGCCGAACCGCCGCCAAGAGAAGACATGCTAGCTGGACCTCATACATCCGTATGAATAAGCTCTAGCTTCTGAGTCTTTGGTGGCCTTCTACTTTTCTGAAAGATGGTCATTTTTTGCTTCCCGTAGATGCAATCCTTGCAAACACCAACTTTCACTGAATCGATGTCGGTTAGCTTTTACTGTGAGTGAAGAATCTTCATACCATTCTCGCTCGTGTGTCCCAACCTATTGTGCCACAGATCTACACTCTTCTTGCTAGCTGTAACTGCGAGGGTGTCACTCGCATGTGAAGTGAGATAGAGAGTTTCTGTTTTGTTGCCACAGGAAACCACCATAATACCGTTGGAGATTTTTCACGTATCCCCGGTGAAAATATTGAAACAGTCTTCTACTCCAAGCTGGCCTACCAAAACAAGATTTCTCTTCAGCTTCGGTACGTGTCTGACATTCTTCAGATTCCACTTAGAGCCCTTCATCTGAATCTGCACGTCGCCTCTTCCAATAATACTGCAAGGCTCGTTGTCCCCCAAGTATACTTTCCCAAAGTTCCCTACTACATAGTTCTGAAGAAGCTTCCTATTAGCAGTGGCATGGAAAAAGACTCCTGAATCAATTACCCATGAATCAGAATCGTTGTCCATAGCAAGGATCAATTCATCTTGCACGATATGAGCCTCTTGTTCATTCACATCCTTCTTTTGTGCTTTACAGACTGAAGACATATGGTTCTCCTAGCTACAGTTCCAACGCTTCCCTTTAATAGGCCTAACCTTCGAGTTCGACCTCTTCTTCTTTGATTTCGAACGATTCTTATTCTGGTTACCCTTCTTTTAGCTTCGGCCTTTCTGCTCGAGATTTAGGGCTGAACCTAAACCTTCTGATTCGGACGATTTTCTTCTAACCTCCTCAGATAGAATCATGCTAATAACTTCGCTCAGCTTTAACTTCTCCTTTCCCTCCGAGTTGCTGATTACGGTCATGTAACCTGCCTAATTATCTGGTAACTGCGATAGAATCAATAGGGCATGTACTTTGTCATCAAACGTGATGTCCACGGAGATAAGCTGATCAACAATCATGTTAAACTCGCTAAGGTGCATCGTGAAGGAGAATCCTTCTGCCATTTTGAGGTTGAAAAGCGTTTTGACGAGATGCATCTTGTTTGCAGCTGACGGTTGCTCGTACATCTTCGCAAGCGCTTTCATAAGTCTCACCGCCGTCTTCTCCTTTATTATATTATTGGTGATCAATTTGGCAAGTGACAACCGAATTTACCCTAAAGTCTTCCTATCCAGTATTTCCCACTCTTCATCTAATTCCTCCTTTTTCTTTCCCTTAGCCTTGCCCATCAACGGACGGTAAAGATCTTTCTAGTACAGATAGTCCTCCATCTGTGATTTTCAGTAGGCGAAGTCTGACCCGTCAAACTTCTCAATCTTCGATTTGCTTTCCTCTATCATGGTTCTCGCACAAATCTTTTGAACGAAGCTCTGATACTAATTGTTGGGAATTCGAAACAATCAATCGAATCCGTGCACTTCCGGATCTTGTGCTAAGAGTTTAGCAAGTAGGAAATCCTCACAAATAAAATAAAAATTACAGGAAAGATAAACAAGAAAGAACACACCAGATTTAGCGAGGTTCGGCAACGTGCCTATCCTCGGGAGCCACACTACACAATTCTTTTGATTAGTTGAAGAAGATTACAATGCCCACAAATAATTTTTTATCTCTCTGAGATCTCTCTGAAAGAATCCTCTCAAAACCCTCTTTTCCACGTGTTCTAATAACTCTAAAATCGTTTAGTTATACATAGGATCCCAGCCCAAAACAGTTTCCCAAACAGTTTAGGAAACTGGAAATCCCGTTCCCGGTCGACCGGGTCATGTGCTTTGGCCGACCGGCCAGAATGTCAATTTCTGCAGGGTTTTGGTGCATGTTTTCGGTCGATCGGATCAATGCCCTCGGTCGACCGACCAGAGCTTTGATTTCTGCTTGTTTTCCTGCAAGCGTCGCGGTCGACCGGACCACGTCCATCGGTCAACTGGACCAGGTCGTTTTTCCTGTTTTCTTCTTTTGTTTGATTTCAGGTTTGGGTCTCCACACCCGAGACCAACAGGTTGCCTTCTCCAAAATTGTACGACCTCTCTCTTTATCATACAAATGATTGCTCTTCTACAAAATTGTATCACCTCTGGACATTTTGAGATTTCACAGTTACGGTCTTGTTTAACAGTGAATTACTGATGCCTGGAAGTGGTAAGTGAGTTTTGCTCGTATGAAGCTAGAGTTTAAGTCTATTGGTGATTTTTGATACCTTGTATTTGACAGTAGGGTACTCGTAAATGCTTGTGATTGCTCTCATCCATTGTTCTTTTACTCATCCAAAGAGTGAACTATGAGTCTTCCTCAATGTCGTATAGTGCTAATATTATGATTACTAATCCGTCTTTTTCCTGTCAGTTTCTGTATGCTAAACTGAGCATTGTCATGTTGAGGCTTATTTCAGTTTTTGAAATCAAACTGACCTTTAGCAGTTATGATTATTGAGAAGTAATCATTGATTTGTTTGTAGGAACTTGAAATCTCTGCTTTCCCCGCGTCACGCGGGGTGTATACTAGAGAGAGAGTGTGTGTGTGTGTGTTGCAAACGCATATGAGCTCCTGCCATGTCCAACCATTAGTGTGTTTTCATGTTGCAAATTAACATTTGCCACTTGAACACTGAAGATCGTACGTGTTGTATATATGTTGCCTTCAATAGATCAATGAAGATCTCTTTTCCATCTTTGTTCTTGCTACTTCTGATAGCTCTATGATACGCCTATCTGAATATATGGCTGTGTAATTCCGGCACCAATGTGCCCCAAAGTAGAGTTCAGTTATCTCCCCAACTTACAGCTGAGAGTAATTTTAGATTTGACACGAAAAGTTAACTAATCGCTTCTATGTTTGTTTGTTTTTAGCGAATCATGTGGGCAGCATCCAAAAGTTGTGTTTCACACGGTTATTTGAGTAACTACCCGTGATTCATTAGTTTGAACGAAATAACCCAAAAAGAATGCAAACGTTTGACACACACAGTAGTAGTTGATGCTACGCCGTGACGACACATAGCTTGCAGCTGATACATAATCATTAGTCCTCCGGCAACGATCAAATTGGATCTAATGGAGACCTCTCTGACCATCAATCAACATTTTTTTGGTGTCTTGGAATTAAGCCTCCAGGAACTAACGAGCAATATTAATTGGTATGATTTTACCGATGAGAATTGGTAACATTTGCCACTTTGACATTTTGTAAGGCTTTGGTTTTCCTTGTGTAAATAGCTCTGGAGAAGCGTTTGGTTGCAGGTCCCAGAAAATTTCACTTTGTTATATAGTACCATTTTAGATTGATATTACAGCTTGTGATAATAGCGGTAAACAAAGTCAAATATTAGATTTCGATCAATACGTTTGAAATCTAATATTTGGTATCCATTCGCTCAAGAAATGCATCCGAACAAGCAATTTGTGAAATCCATGAATTTCAATTCTTAGATTCCAAACCCCTTGAATTCAATTCTACACTTCAAATCCAAATATATGAATTTCATAAGGGTTGTGTTTTGTGTGATATTAAGTAAGACATAACAGAAGGAATTGTAACTCGAGCAGGTTCTAATTTACATCAACTGGAGCGCGTTCTGGTACTATGATGTGCCACTTTGGGGTATAACTAGCAAAACCAATGTACTATGTTAAATAATCTTTCATAGATGCGTAACCAAAAGTTTGGTCAGACCCTGCAGAGCTTATTTTTATTTTTCTTTTTTGTGTGATTTATATCTCTTGTGTGTGTTTGAACACAGTTTATATTAATTATTCAAATGATAAGCTGTTCCGTAGTCTTTGTTGCCTTGACACAGGTCGAACCTCCGTGTAGATATTGGGCATAGACTTCACACGTACGTTTAGGGCGCGTTTGGTAAAAAAAATTTGCCTGAGAATGGGGGCGGAAAGCTGCCAATGTGGCAGCTTTCTCCCCAAAACGCCTCTTTAAGAGGCGTTTTGGGGAGAAAGCTGCCACATTGGCAGCTTTCCGCCCCCATTCTCAGGCAAATTTTTTTTACCAAACGCGCCCTAAACGTACGTGTGAAGTCTATGCCCAATATCTACACGGAGGTTCGACCTGTGTCAAGGCAACAAAGACTACGGAACAGCTTATCATTTGAATAATTAATATAAACTGTGTTCAAACACACACAAGAGATATAAATCACACAAAAAAGAAAAATAAAAATAAGCTCTGCAGGGTCTGACCAAACTTTTGGTTACGCATCTATGAAAGATTATTTAACATAGTACATTGGTTTTGCTAGTTATACCCCAAAGTGGCACATCATAGTACCAGAACGCGCTCCAGTTGATGTAAATTAGAACCTGCTCGAGTTACAATTCCTTCTGTTATGTCTTACTTAATATCACACAAAACACAACCCTTATGAAATTCATATATTTGGATTTGAAGTGTAGAATTGAATTCAAGGGGTTTGGAATCTAAGAATTGAAATTCATGGATTTCACAAATTGCTTGTTCGGATGCATTTCTTGAGCGAATGGATACCAAATATTAGATTTCAACTCTTAAAGAGGCGTTTTGGGGAGAAAGCTGCCACATTGGCAGCTTTCCGCCCCCCTTCCCATGCAAAAAATGTAAAACAAACAAGCCCTTAACATCCATCCAGTACGAGAAAGGGGAAAGCACTGCAAAAATTGACATGTTTGGAGGGGGGGAAGAAATCTCTTACAAATTCCACCACCACTTCACATGCGGCTCCAAATATGTAGTTACAAGAACCAAAGAAAGCTCAGACACTGACAAACAGCCACACCGTCGAGACTGATGAATGCCAAAATCTGAATCAAGCATCACAATGACCTCTTCCCTTCTTCTTTTCTTTTCTTAATTAATTTGTTTTTTTTTTCAAATTTTTAAAGTTGAGATAAAATGATCATTCTCTCATCATTTGTTTTTGTTTGCAACAAGAGCGGTGTTTCTTTTTTTAATTAACTTGAAGAACCCAACGCCACCTCGCTCAGAAGCGAAGAATCTTCCTCCTCTTCCTCGGCTCCCGTCCCCTTGAGCTCCTCAATCCTGTCCAATGCTTCCTTGATGTCCCACCTGTTGTCGGCGTTCGGCTCGCAGCATCGCAATCCAATGTGCAACAGCTTAGACATCTGCCCTTTCTCCCCGTTCTCAGCACTCTTCATCTCGCTATCGAACGCCTCCTCCTTAACAACCGAATTCACCCACCCCGCCAAATCACCGCCTCCCTTCCCTTTCTGCAGGTAAATAGCCGGAAACTGACCTGTCAGTACCTCCAGTATCAATATCCCAAGGCTCCACACGTCGCTCTTTTTCGATGGTTTGCCTGTTTCTGTCACCTCGGGCGCCTTATAAGCGACCATGACCTGGGAGGCGTGCGAGTTGTTGACCAAGGGCACAAGGGCGTAGTCGGTTAGGAGGGCCTCGTAGTTGTCGTCGATGAGCACATTGGATGACTTGAGGTGTCCATGTGGCAGAATAAGCATGGGGAGCTCTTCGTATAAGTAGGCTAGCCCTCTTGCTACCCCCTTTATTATCTTCAGCCTCGTCGGCCACCCCAGAGGAGGAAGGTTTGATCCGCGATTGCCTGAGACATGGCATTGCATCAGGAGATAAAATGTGATTTAGTATGGAACAAGCGATTAAAGGAATGAAATGACGTGATAACTGGCTCACGTTACGCACCGTGAAGCATGTGAGCCAGGCTGCCGTTGAGAATGTAGTTGGTGATGATGAGCTTCTCTTCCTTCCTGTAGTAATAGGCGACGAGAGGCAGGACATTAGGGTGAGACAGCCTGCCAAGCCTTCTCATGTGCTCTTGGAAGTCCTCTCTCCCAACCCTATTCATCTCCTTGAATCTCTTCACGGCCACCGAAGGCCCTTCGATCAGCACTGCCTTGTACGAAGACCCAAAGTTGCCGCTGCCCAGCACTTCTGCTGAAGCCCTCAACAGATCCTGCAACTCGAACCTCTCCCCACCGTCCTGTAGGAATGTCAACTTCTCCTCCTGTGTGATCTCTCCCGCTGGGAGTGGCGTTCTGGCCAGCTGCAGCATGGTTTCCAGGCAGAGTGACACAGCAAATCTGCTCCAGCTTGTTCTGTCGACGCGACAGATCCTGATGTAGTAGGGGAATGAGGAAAGTCGTCTACCTCGTTGTTCCGAGGCGGCTGGCGGAAGAGAGCAACAAGAATCAAGGCTAATGATAGACACGCGCTGCAATACATTACCCATATTATCAATCATTAGCCGATTGCGAATTTTCTCGGATGGAGCTCCTGGGCATTTCATTTGAAAGGGGAGGCCGCACAGCTTGTCGTTGCTGAACGGGCCAATGTTGTATAATTATATAAATAGAACCTAAAATTTATGAGGGGAGCTGAGATTAAGGAGTGCATGCGGGGGTGGGGTGGGGGGGGGGGTGAGATTAAGAGGACTGCGTAACAGCTTGATCATCAATGCTGTTGATGGATTCTGGAATTCTGCCTTCGAGCTTGTTATAGGAGACGTTGAGGAGCTGGAGAGCGGGCTGCTTGAGCTCCGGTATCTCTCCTTCAAACTGATTGGCGTCAAGCCTGAGGAACATGAGCTTGGAGAGCTGAGTGAGGGACGAAGGGATCTTCCCGGTGAACTCGTTGTTGGAGATGTAAACCTTCTTCAGAGACCTGGTCCCCAGGAAAGCCCCCTCAGGGATGACGCCGGAGAACTGGTTGTTGGAGAGGTAGAGGGCCTTGAGGGAGCCCAGGGCTCTTATGTCGGCAGGTCCCACAAAGTCTGTTCATGGAGCGGATGGCGCGGGGCTGGTGAGGCCGCGAGGGAGGTGAGCGTTGAGGTGCGCGAGGCCCATGCTTCGAGCTGCGGGCCACACTTCGTGTTGGTGCAGTAGAGCCACCCATGTCGGTGACCCTGATCTTGCAATGGGGTTGGAGGCCGATGTCCAGCTCGCGCAGGCCTCATCGCCCCGCCCACCGACCAATACGTCGACTTGATTCAGGAGGGAGTCGGGCTCTGACGATGAGGCAGATGCCCTGTTTGTGGGTTCAAGGGAATGCAGCTGTGAATGACCGCGACAGGGCGGGGGGGGGGGGGGGGGGGGGGGGGGGGGGGGGGGGGGGGGGGGGGGGGGGGGGGGGGGGGGGGGGGGGTGGGGGGGGGGGGGGGGGGGGGGGGGGGGGGGGGGGGGGGGGGGGGGGGGGGAGGGGGGGGGGGGGGGGGGGGGGGGGGGGGGGGGGGGGGGGGGGGGGGGGGGGGGGGGGGGGGCGAGGAGAACGAGGCCCGTCAAAGCTTCCCGGCATGGTTGACCGGGAAGGATGAGAGAGAGAGAGGGGGAGAGGAGAGAACAGGAGGAAAGACGATAAACGAATAAGAATAACTAACGGGAGGTCAGGGGGGGTGGATGCTAAATTGTGGGGGACGAATGGATACGGTAATGTGAGGGGGGAGGGAGGGAGGGAGGGAGGGAGGCTTGTCTGTGAGTTAGTTATTAAAATTGATGGATGGCTCCGGCATTTTATATACATATACATAATACATGTGTGTGTGTGTGGGAAAAAAAAAAGAAAAAGGAAATGATGCAAATTAGGAGGATGTTGGATGAGGACGTGTCTAAGAACAGAGATTCACGGGAGGGCTTCGTGAGCAGTTGAAATTAATAGGAACTTGTCTCCTCTTTCTTCAGCAGCTGTTGCCAGAGCCACATCAGGCCGCCCCTTAACCTATTATTGGCATCGACTCCAGGCTCCCACCCACATTCTTTTTTCTTCCCCCTTCTCCGTCTCTGGTTTTCATAATGGAGCGATAGCTAAATTTTAAGACAATCCACCAACATATTGCTGCATCGCACACTGTTGGGAAATTGCAAATTCAGGTTGACAGGCTGAATTGAATCCAGAGTATGTAATGTAGGACATTGTGATCATCTGCAGACGGTTCCCATATTGATACATTACGAAAACAATTTAGGAGTTCATTCTTCTTTGTTTCATGCATATCGCGCATTAACCTAAGACCCAATGTGACATATACCTTGATTATTGAATAAAACAATTTTCTCGTATAAAATCTCCATAACCAACGTCAACAAGACAGAGACCATCTGGAGGCGCAGGAGGAGCTGTGGCCCGTCTGCATGAAGCATCCATCAGCTTTAGTAAAGCATCATTGTTGGCACCTGCTGCTGCTTCCCTTATGGCCGTCGCAACAAGCACCCTAACCATCTGCACAAAACAACAACAACAAAACCTAAGTGAAAGCTTGCCGAAATGCATGCTTTAACTCTCTATACTTGAATCATTTTATTGATAATGTTCTCATTAGTTCAGGTTAAACCTAGTTAAGAGAATAATCCCAATAGCCGAGTCAACAACATCAATATGCTTCCACAACGACTTAAAATTCAGTAACCAAAACTATGGATTAAGTCACCCCTGTCGATAGCTGCATGTTCTAGAGACAGCTGTGAGATAATCTAAAAGTGGCCTGTAATTTGCATTCCACTGAATCATTACGGTAGACATGTAATATCTAAGGATGCAAAATAATACCTTGCGCAAGAAGCGATTTGCAACCAGTTCCACGCACATCACCCTCAGTTCTTTACAACCCTATGAATGAACAATTACCATCAGAACAATGGTGAGAATTCACTTTGCTCGAGAACTTAAAATAAAATATTTTAACGTGTAACCAAGACAAACATGATCTAAGGATGATCAACACTCTGCAATAAGCATGACCACTAATGCTGATATTTGACAAATTCTATCTGGTACAACATGCACCATTACTACCTATAGATTAAACAGGCTGATGTACAACATAATGAAGTTGAAAACTAGATGAAGGCAACCACCCTTCAAATTAAGCTTGCAACTAGCAAAATGGGAAATGCTGATAAATGTTGTCTTAAATAATCCGTTTTATTGACGAGAGAGTATATCTTTAATTTGTATCTTTACTTTTTGAGGTCCCTAATTCACCAAACGTTCCAAGGTCCTATACCAAATCATATCATAGGCCCCCTCTTTCTTGAGTTACTACACAAGATATTTGAAAACTGCTTCTCAGTTGCATGACTTTAAACTACAGAAAATTAGGAATTATTCCTACCTGCCAATTGCTCTACTAGTTTTATGGTAAATTAGCAACTGCCCATAAAGCTAGCAACCGTCTTGAGTAAGGAATATTCCCTTTGCCAACAGCTGCAAATTCCTTTTCTGGTAAGTGGTTATCTTAGTCGATGCACGTCAGGTAGATGAGAAGAGAATTTTTTTCAATCCGTTTACACATCCTTATCCAGAGGAGTTTGCACCATGGGAGGCCTCATTGTAATGGGAATAGAGATAGAATAATGATATATGCTAAAACTTCCGAGGAAAATTCAATATGTCATCCCACAATCTACAGTATTAAGCAAATAGGGAGGCATAAATACCTGGTTAATACAAGGAAGTTTGGCTTCTGCAGCACGAGCATGAAACATAAAACACTCTGTTGGTGGTCCACTGAAATAGCAAAAAATAACGTAAATAAGAGATGATAAACTTACTGATTCTTTTTAGTGAGAAGCCCTTGCAATAAAACAAAAGGATGAAATTATAATAGTATTAAATCGCAACGTTATGCACACAACTGAACAGAAGAAAATGCAGATGTTTATGATTACAAGGAATCATTACTCAGCTTCACAAAGGTGTCGTGCCAAGAGAACACTTCATTCTTTAAATGGTTTCTTAAGTCACTTCAGTGCCTGATATATCATCAGAAGCAAATAATGTTTTCCCCTGTTTATATTTGAACTTTGAAGTTAGTAAATTCGCCTTACATGCTTCTTGAAGCTTTTGTATCCCGTGCAAATATTTTGTACGATAAAGACTTCCCTTCTAATTGGCGTAGAAGTTCATTCACCTTGTTTACATCAAAGTCTTTTGGTTTCTTTTCATATTTGAGATCTCCATTACCATTCCAAACACCTGACAATCTATCAACCTCATAGCTTTCAGTCTGTCCTTTCATGCGATCATCATCCTCGTCGCTACTAGTCACAATGCCCCCATTTTCTTGGTCTTGATCACCATCATCAAGAGGGAAAATGTAAAAGTAGCGTCTCCATTTCGCTGCAAAATTTGGATGGAATGCACGTGACACCTGCAGAGATGATTCCCTATCAGGATATAAACATAAATTATCATTAACAGGCAACATGACTGAGATTCGTTCCCAAAAAAAAGTAAAGGCAAAGAACAGCTTAGATTGTTAGTTTGTTTTAAAATCGTGTTGCAGCAAAACCACTTAAGAGCATTTAAATGGTTTCAAGTGTTGGTGTTGAGGTAATTAAAGCTCGACGGCAAGCTAGGATGCAGATTGTAGCCAGCATTAGCAGTGTTGCAGCCAAATTGGCCAAAACTTAACTCGTCTGTTAGTAGTAATGTGCAAGGTTCTCCTCACTTACCACAACAGCAAGGCAACTGCATGCAGAGTAAATACAGCTAATCAGACAGTGGAGTTGTACTTCTTTTAGCACCATCAACAACGAAACTAAACAAACATCTAGTACGCACACCATTTCCGCATTTTCCAAGTATACTTACAACCAACCAACCAGCCAGTAAAATTAACTGAGGAATAAATTTAATTGACAACCGAACTTCATAATCAAGAGCGTTATCTACAACAGAACAGATTAGAGAGAGTCCAGTTTCATGAAACCCTACCTTGGAGACAGATACAGCTCTGATCTTTCCCGGTGCAGAATTATTAACTGCATCCCTTATATCTTCACAGGTAACATCTTTCTTCCAAGTATCTAGTGATCCATAAGAATACATTAGCAAAGATCCAAAGCAAGTCGATTAAACTAAAGAGATAACCAGCGTGTCACGGTCTCCAACTCTTGCCAACGTACCATCATTCCACAACACATGCATACCACTTTTACTATGTACCAACGTTATTTGCATTTCCTAACACGGCGGAAAAGGTTTTACAATAAAATTGCAGTAAGAACGGATGAAACGAACAAAAGGATGAAAGAACAATTCTCAACCCTGATTTACAGAACCGTCCTAGATACCCTTCTGTGTGTACTATAGTAGCTACATTAGGCAGGCTCGTTACAAAATGATCAAGTATAAATCGGTAGCTTTATACTTGATTTACTCTTCAACCAATGCATGTGACAGGTTTTTTCTATTTTCACCTTTGGTTTTTATAATTTTTTTTATTTTTAACTTTTTGCAGTGCCCAATTGGAGCCGCGGGTTCAGAGGTGACTGACATTCTAATGCTGCATTTAGCTTCTGGAAGTGATTTTTAAACTAATAAGAAAAAGAGGAGGGGGGCGGGTGAATTGATGAACTGACAAAATGAACAAACTTGTTGGAGGGCAGTGACGCCCTTATCGGTGCGGCCAGCAACAACAGCACAGCCTTCCAGCGGCAGAGACCTTTCTCTGAGTTGATTGGCTTTTCTATCGTCGAC